ATTGGGAAAGACACTGAACCCAAAACTTGCTGTGCCAGCAGTGTGCGATTGATATCTGATGAATGGTTGAATGGCAAAACTGTAAAACACTTTCAGTCGTCACCAAGACAATAAAAAAATATCTATATTAATACAGATCATTTAACTGTCTTCATTTACTGTAAGATGAATTTGCCAATAGTTTTTTTATTCATCAATTAAATCATTTGGTTTCTAAAATTAGAGTAAATTATAAAAATAACAGTGATCTTTCTAGTCATTTCATGTTTTATTTTGAGAAACAATCTAACATTCAAATATACCGTGATACAAAGTTCTCTCAGGATGGAACTTATATGACTGGTCAAAAAAAGTTGACGATTAGTTTTCTGCCCGTCGACTAATCATTGCGACTCTACTTGCAGCTGTATTTCAGTGTATGACTGACATGATGCATCTTTTAGTATTTGCCACAGGGTAAAGATTATTCATTGAGACCACAATGGACAGAGATAAGTGATTTCAGGGTAGATATATTGCATGGACGTCTGTATTTACAATGAGATGTGATACATAACATTACAGTTTGTTTTCTACCAGCCACAATGACCAGGACTACAGACTGACACTGTCAGTAGTCTGAGGCCAGCTCACATAAACCAAATCTGAATTTCACTGAGAGAGAAGCTAGTCTATAACGATGTGTTTTCTTCCTATCTTTCAGTTTGAGATCAGGACTTCAAGATCAAACTCAAATAGTCCGTAGAGTTACTCTGCTTGTGCTCAAACTTGGAACTAACACTCCAATATTTTGTTGCTTGGAGAGATTTACAGCAATCCAGCTTCAAGTCTTCTCCTCACGCTGCTTCTGCATGTACACTGAAACGTCTGCTCTATGATTTCTCCTTCTTCTTCTTCTTGGATTTGTTTCTTCTTCACTTGGATTTTTTTCAATCGTGCTTGACGTTTGTCAAAAGTCCCTAATCAATAGAATGTCAGGTGCAGGGGTGACAAATGATATCGTACCCAAAGCTTCAGCTGGAACAGTTACAAGTAGAGTTGAAAGGATTCTCAAACCAAGACAAACACCCAAAATCTCATATTTTTATACGGAACCATGTTTCCCTCTGTCCAGGTCTAAAGCTGCCTGTGCCTGCCAGACATCTTCCCTGTGTGGACAGGACGAAATCGACATAGTGGAAAGATTTTCGCTCTGCAGCTTCTTCTGGGAACTGAAATTTAAATATCATCACATTGCATTATAATATGTTATAGGGTAATGTGGGTTATATATGATGTAAAATAGCAGTGTTGTATTGGTGCTACTTCTGCTTTGAACATTGATTTACCTCTCTATTTGATGTGCTCTGTTACGTGCAACACTTTCGTCCGTCCACAACGGAAGGACAGAACAGCCAACTGACAGACAAAGCCACGGTTGAAGCTGATATGACACAATTAAGGCAACTAAAATAAAATGTCCTGTTACCTTGAACAAAATTGGGTATTTCACTAGGTTTGAACAGACAGAAATATTTTGGATAATGTAAGTAGACCAGTCAACAAAATATATAACATAGTATACTCATTTAGAGATATCTTGATGAAGAATCCACAGATATTATATCATATTTCTTAATTATATAATATCTATTATATAATTAAGAAATGCTGATACACTTACAGCAAATGGAAACAACAAGTATATAAATAAGATATCAATACGTATGAATTATATTGGCTGCATATCCACTACACATTTATATCCCAGTATGTAATCTAACCTAACAATTACCAGTGTTATCCCACTGCAGCACTCACAGTCTAATGTCTACAGTCTAATGTAGCAGACTGAGTCATCTCCGCTACACTTTTCCATTAGAACAATGATAAATCATGTGAGAGCACTTTTATAGTGCTCCTCGGATTCTATCCGTTACGAGCGTTGGCACAGACACTCTTATGCTGACTACACCTTTACTGTCTCCATATTCGCTATAGGGTAGATGACAATGGACAGAGACTGTCCCCTGTAGGATTTAATAGCATTTCCTGCAGGGATCAATCAAGGAGCAGTCAGTGCAGCTTCACAGCTCCATGATGGAGAAGCTCAGACGAAGCTCTCAGGAAGAAACGGTCCTGACGCCGCTCAGCGTGCTCTATCGATGCGTCTTTATAGAATCTATCTGAAACAGAACAAACAGGCCTTTTCCTTAGGGTCCTACCAGCTGGGGTGGAGATATGCAACTGTTTAGTTCATATGATCAAATGAAAGGAAACTCGTTACCCTGCACTGCCCGAGCTAAGGGCAAAGTTTGGACGCCTGGTACTGGACATATAAGGGAAGAGACGCCTGCTCGACTGAACACAGAGAATCTGATGGGGGTGGGGGTCGGGGACATAGATAACCCACACATTTTGAAATAGTGGCAGGTAGCGTTAGGTGTCGCTTGTTTTTATTTTACGAAACTGGTGCTCACTCGATACTTAATGGTCGACAATACCAGCAGGTTTTTAAAAGCTATAATACAGCAAAATACTCCTTCTCCAAACATTTACAGCACGTCCCAGGTGATGGAATACCTGTGAAATACAACCACACTTTCCACCACAGTTTGAGGTAGCCAGTAGCTAACTGTAAGCTAATGCATGCTGAATTTAGTGACAACTAGTGGTGAAATTGCATGTTACAAACATGAAAAAGAAATTGTGGTAGCTTCAGTTGTCATAAAAACTCAAAAGGTGTTTAGTTTGTCCAGTCTGGACTAATGTAAAAAACATGGGGGCCTCCGTAGAGAGGGTCCCCTCAATGTAAATATATAGTATTTAAATATAAAGGGCCTTTTCTGGAGTAAAGAAAACTACAATTCATACAATTTAGATGAAATGAACAAGTGAAAACATCATGAGGATTATTCTACATTACATTTCTGCCAACAGTTCCCTTTCACCTAAATCTTACACACTGGACCTTTAAATTATTTTTCCAGCGTTCCAGAGATCCCAGTGCCTGCCCCGTGTCTCTCAGGCTTATCTCTCTCTCTCTCTTTTTCATTCCGGCTTGCTCTCTCCATCTTGCAGAGTGCACAGGCTCCACTGGCCGAACCACAACCACGCAATGCCTTGCTAGACGCACGAGTGCCCCTCCTCACCTGCCGAGTATTTGGTGTTAGTAAATGATTTCTCCAGTGTTCCAGAGATCCCAGTGCCTGTGTGCTGCTGTCTGTGCCCCGTCAAGTTCACCCACATGCTTTTCTCTGTGATGAAGATGAACAAAACCCCACACAGGAGTCCTCTCACTGATGCACACCTTCACTCCATCTTGAGGGTTACCACAGCACAGACCCTAACCACAAACATTAATGAACAGGCAGCCAAGAAAGAAGAAAAGAAAAGATGCCAAACATCTGGCTCATGTAAATTAAGATTCCTATTTTTGGTCCCACACACAGCATGCAACATGCAACCATGGGGAAATTTGACCTCTGTATTTAACCCATCCGTGTGAACGGAGCACACACGGAACACAATCCACACAGTGACCACACACGGAACAGTGGGCAGCCATGAAGGCACCTAGGGAGCAATTGGGGGGTTCGGTGCCTTGCTCAAGGGCACCTCGGCAGTGCCCAGGAGGTGAACTAGTGCCTCTCCAACTTCCGTCCATGCTGGACTTGAACCGGCCACCCTCCGGTTCCCAAGCCAGGTCGCTATGGACTGCGCTACTTTTGCAATTATTAATTGCAATTATTATTCTTAATTTGGGCCCTCTCTATGATTGTGTTTGACACCACTGGTCTAACGGGTCTAAAATATCATGACTGACAGCTGAGACTGACTAGCGATTGGTTAAGCGAGTGCATCAGTGGGATGTTGAGAACACGGCTACACACCACGATCCCTACACTCAGTCTGGCTCCATATGAGACACTCCATTTTGCTACACAACTGCCCAGGTAGCATCAAATGCTCTCTTTCAAAATAAGCCTATTTGCTTCTGTAACGGACAAGATGACAATTCGTAATGTAACCCACAGAGTGATCTGAAGGTATATACGCTCAGTGCACAGAACAATGTGATGTGTGATCATCACAGTGATGCACTAACAGCCCGCATCCATATGCATTGATCACTTCTAGTCCCATGCCCGTCGTGACTGTTGAGCGTAGGAAGATATTTCTGAACTACTCTCAGTTTTCAATGAATTCTTCTGCTCTGACAGAACACTGACTGCCACAATGTGCCCTCTGTCACAGGCTTGTGCATACGTGGGCTGTCATATGGAAATGCATGCATTCCAGTCTCTCTGCTCACCCACCCGTATCCCATCTCTGCAATTCCTGGAGCAAACAGTGGACATATTCTTCAGTTATTTGCAGAACGCATGCCTGTGCCCTGCTGCTGAAAAAGGAATTTGTTTGACTATTAGAGCAGGTTATTAGACATTGTTTGATTCTGGCCGCTGGATGAAGCACCTCTGCTTTCAAACTGTCATCATTTATTCATGAATTTACATTAGGTGGTGGAACAGCCCGCAGCTCGAACTGGAAGCTGGAGTTTGACAAGTTACATAAGACGCAAATGAGGTTTTACCTTCACCGTGCACCTGCAGAATTGGCGAGGACAGCAGCCTGAGTGCAGGTTGGTGTCGTGCAGGTTGGTGTAGTGGCAGAATGCTGCAGGTTTGCTGATTCCACTCTTTGGTAGAGTAATGAGAACATCTTGTTAAGTGTTTCTGGAGGAGGCAGCTGTCTGCAGTGAGGTTGACTGACACAGTTACCTGACACCTCCCCTGTGACTCTGACAATAGGTGTGATGGTTAAAGAAAACATGCTAAAAATGACCTGTCACCTCAACACTGATTCATTTCATCACGGGCGAAACACACAACAGATCCCAGCTCAGGTCCAAGCGAAGCTGTGGACTGAAGCTGAGCCACCGCAGGAAAAGTTCCCTGGAGAGCAGGAGACGCAAGAAGTGCAGCAGAGAGAAGAAAGAGTGGAAACTCCTGTTCACTTACTTCAGTGTCTGAGTGAGGTGGGATCCCAACGAGGCAGAAAGCAACTCCATTCATTGGGTTGTGAGCGTGTGTGTTTGCGTGCGTGTCCAAAGAAACGGGTCAGACCCGCGCTGCGCTCTCCATCCCGCGCACGTGTCTCGGCTCCGGCTCTCCGGCAGACGGCTTCAGAGTTGACCGCGGACAGGACACCACACGCCGGACTCAGCCCCTGCCCCTGCTCCCACTCTCTCTGCACCGTGGACCGGCCCGTCCCGCTACAGTCACACCCCATACTACCGGAAATACAGCGAGCTGGATTTCAAAATAAAGGCGCATTACGCCTTTGGATGGAAAGAGTTGAACTACACGTGGTTTTCTTAAAATCCGAGGGATCGTTTTGAATTTGAACCAATAAATTACTTTCTAATTATAATACTACTGATCAATGCACTTGAATCATCTACAGCGGCCATAAAAACATATTTGAGCAACCAATACTGTGGCATAACCAATATAAATGTATATTCAGCACGATATTATTATTAATATCATTATCATCAGTATTATTATTATTATTATTAGTAGTAGTAGTAGTAGTAGTAGTAGTAGAAGTAGTAGGAGTACAAGTAGTAGTAGTAGAAGTATTGTTATTATTGTGTTTGTTATTATTGTTATCTATATTTTTTATCTATATATTTTAAGGTCTATTATGATTTGGCACTATACAATTAAAACTGAGTATTATACAATAATATACAATTGTATCATTATTACTATTAATACTATTACTACAACAACTACTACTACTACTAATAATAATAATAATAATAATAATAATAATAATAATAATAATAATAGCAATACAACTTTATTCCTATAGCACTCATCTAAACGAGGTTACCTCCTAAAATACATGGGAATAAAACCAGACAGAACAAATATAAGAAAGAGAACACGAAAGAAAATGTTTAAAAAAATGTTAAAGACAAACAACATCTGTTAAATCCACTAGAACAGTGATTCACTTAGTCACCAGTGTATTCAAACACCTATGACCCATGTGTAGTAATTTTGAAGTACAGCTTTTGTTTGGAAATCAGTGGGACAGTTGAATTCCTGATGGGGCACACGCTCTCATTTAAACCAACACATCAGGAGGTGAGAGGATGTGTGGCCAGAGCTGCTAGTATTTCTGCAGCTGATGGTTTAACACTGAGCTGTTTTCATGTGTACATGTAAACGGTTTGTATTTATACGGCACTTTTCTAGTCAGGATGTCCAAATGGCTTTACAGTACAGTTGTACACATGTATGTGGTGCTGCCTCTGACACCGCATAAATCAGATGCACAGCTCAAAAGCATTTCACTCACACGTGCACTGTCATCAATCCTTCGAGCTGTCTTCAACCCTTCATCGGCCAGTAATAAACTGCATCACCCCTACCTCCCCTTCAAGTACTTCTACCCCCGACTGTGCTGTTCCCTGAGGTTTACTGCATGCTAATGTGCAGTATTTAAAGTGAGTGCCTCCGAACTGTGGACGTTCAATGACCAGTCCCAAGATAAAAAGTCTGCAGAAAGTTTACAAACTTATACAAGAATACAAACATGAAGAAGACATGGTGATAGAGTCTGGACCCAATTCTCCAGCCTTCCTGTGGAGGTCACGTTTAAAAAGCAACTTCAATGAGAGCTCAAAGCACTTCACAGTACTCTGATTCACACTTCAGTATAAAGCCTAACACTCCTACATCTCATTAAACCACCGACAGTACAATTTGCGAACCACGACCTTTGGACACGGACACTTTCCCCAAGCAGTGTTTGCCTAAAACTACCAAAATATTTGATTATGACTGATTCAAGAGATATGATATTATTATTCTCTCTATATAAATGACATGTTCACAGCCTATATATTTTCAGTTTCATCAGTATTTGGGCAAGATCATGTTTCCTTTTAAACAGTTAGATTAAAACTGTATTAAGCAAAATAAAACAATAATAATAATAATAGGCAACCTTACCTCCAGGGCCCACATTTTGAGAAACCTCAGCAAAAACATTTTGCATGACATTTTCTCTCAGCTGACTCTTGCTTGATTGCTCTCTGTTTAATTGAGCATTTAAATGTGTCCAATAAGATACAATCGCTATGGATACAAGACAGATAAAAGCTGATTTTACTGTTTATTTAGTTTCAAGATTGTTTTATTTCTCACATACACAATCATACACAGTCGTTAGTCATCCATTTGTTGTTTTAACTATTTTAAATGGGTTTGTATCACATTTTTGTCAATCTTCCTCTCTCTCCTTCTACTGTGTTATGGTATTTAGAGGGTGAATACTTATGGCTGGAAGAGTGTATGTGTGAGTTGATGGTCAGTGGAGCGAGAGGCAGCCCAATGCTGATGTTGGCCGACAGTGCCCTCAGGACAGAGGACAGACTACGCACAAACATATACATACACATACACACACACACACACACACACACACACACACACACAAAGTCATTGCGTAATATTGGAAAATGAAATTATTAGGGAAAAAGAGAAGAGAGACACCCTCTGCTGGCCTTCTGCTGCTCATACACACATGCATGCATACTAACACACACACACACACACACACACACACACACACACACACACACACAGACACTAGTTCCCTGTAATCTTACTACATCATTATATGAGCACTACATACATGACTCAGACGACACCTATCTTCAAACTTAGCTTACAGTTCTATTTCATTTTCCGTCAAGTGAGGCCTCCAGGACTACGTTTTGCCATGATGACACACAACTACACACACACATACGTACCTACACACTCACACACACACAGATTTGCGCAACTTTCCTTGTTTGGACTTTGCATTGACTTCCATTCACAGAAGATAGGCTCAACAAATCCTTTTACCTAACCTTAACCATGACCAATTCATGCCTGACCCTAACCTTAACCAGGACCTCTGAAGACCATGAGATTAACTGACAAGATCATTGGTTATGCTGGAATAGGTCCTAAAGAGGTGATGAAAATATACACACACACACACACACACACACACACACAGACACAGGGAAAGAGGATGTAAAAAATAAATAGATTTGGGGTTTTTCTCCAAATGAACACATTTTCCCTCCTCTCTTACAGCACTCTTACATCACGTCATGGATCATAGGATGTTATGTAAGCACTTCATCAGCCAACATCATCCTATGTCATGATGTCTGATCAGGAAAGCTTTTTCTGTTTGCTGGTTTCTTTTTTCTTTAAAGAGCATGGTTTAGTCCTTACTGTGACAAAAACCACAGCAAGTGATGAATTAGTTATGCAGGTCACTGATGTTTTTTACGAGGCAACTTGCAATAGTAGTAATCTTACTGTGCAGCAACGCTCTCCATCATGGGGCCGAAAAACTAGCGAAATTCCTTCAGGTTAGCAGCGGCCAAGTGACTGGCTATACAACTATTTAAAGTGTCACTACCACCAAATCAGGGATTTCTAAACAAAAAACCAACGAGTAGGCTAAAAGAACAATTATAAGAAAATCCTATATGGAAAATCATATGTATCAGGAAATGAATACATCAAATGGACAGCACACCACTGGCCTGACCAGTCTGCGAAGCACCAGAAACCTTCTTGAGTGAGCCATCGTGATCATGACCTGGAGGAATGGGAAGCTTCACAGACAAATGCAAAATGTACACATTGTTTTTAACCATCCTGAGAGCCTGGATGGGTGTGGTCAGAAGCACGCTGTGTCGCACAGTGACATCACAGTGTACTGACACATCGCAGCGATGTGAGAAGTTAAACCACCAGGTCAGCAAAAAAAAAAAAAAGACTTGTGGTAAGTTTAATGGTGAAAAAGGTAGATAGTTTCACCGTCTTCAAGAAATGAAAGATGGTGGTGCAAATAGAGACACTGTGAAGCGGGGGGGCTCAGAGGATGTGGCAAGCCGTCCACTAAAAACTGCCTGTGATAGAAGAAGTTCAGCTGTATTCTGTTGTATGAATGCTACTTGTACTGTAAAGCACTTTGAGTGATAGATAAGACAAGACAAGTCCCTATAGTTGTTTTTCTTGTCTGAGAGCGCACACACATAATAAGCAAGAGATTAATGTTTTCAACATTGTTGCTGACTGCTCATTGTGTCACAGTTGCTGCTGGTAAAGTATCAGGATAAATAAAAGCCCACAATGCAGCAATAATAGAAGGACACATTGTGAACCGAAGTGACTGTGCAAGTTTCAAAATGTATCAGAGTAAAAGCTTTGCAGATATTTTCCAAAGTGGGAAATGCAGTGAACCTCTTGTCAGGCTTGAATTTAAAGTGAACTTTTCTGTCAAGTGATTTGATACCGAAGCTTTCAAACCAAATTCTATAAAACCCATTAGGTCTGTTTCCTCTTTTTTTCTGCAGTGGTTGATGCTCAAACCTTAAAAATAAAACCTACAGTCTCCTGAATAACAGCAACACAAAGTCAAACAAATAGACAAACGCAAAACTAAATCTGTTTAGTCAACAAGCTTAAGCATTTGTATTTACTGAAGAGTGTGTTTGTGAATTCCTGCTCTGATGGTCCCGTGTTAGTCTTTGTTTGAATTTAAATGTCACCCCAAAATGTGGACTGGGGATTTATTGGAATAACTTAATCTGATTTTGCATCAGACGAGATTAGCATCCCGGGTGATCCCGAAACATCCCTGAGACAAAGAGTTTTCAACATTTTCTTACATTGAAAATCTATGTTGACGACATCGAGACCCTCTGGTGTTTATCCTAACACCCCTGTGCTCCAATAAAAACAAGGCTGCTGAGGATTTAATCCACATTGTGCTGGAAAGTGATGATTGTTGAGATGCAGGAGGAGGAGGTGTGTGTGTGTGTGTGTGTGTGTGTGTGTGTGTGTGTGTGTGTATGTGTGTGTGAGTGCATATGTGGAGGCACTAATCTGGCTTTGTTCTGAAAAGAGTTTCACCCCCACTGCAGGGGGCCTGTGAAGACGCAACCTCCACGTCCTCCCATCATCCCCCTGTCCTCATGTACACTGTGACCTCCCCCATCCCCCTCCACCCTGGGTTAACCTTCTGTCCTCCATCCTCCCCCTGCCACAGAGACTGTACAGTCGTAAATCTGGTGTCAGTGGGTTTTTTTTTTTAGAGATGTGGATTTATGTAGGTTTCTTATATTGCAGCATTATGGAATCTAATATGATTGGTTTCACTGGTATATGATATTATAAAAATCTATATACAATAT